CTTGTATCCATTAAGTCATTCACTGATTTATCAAGTCTGACTAATAGGAACAGACGTCATAAAAGCATCTCAGCATGGCCATGCAATTTCCTTAGTCATAACTTATCAGTGGGCCCCATAAGACATTAATCTCTTTAAAAAGAGTAGTGACAAATCCTATGTACGTAATCTACGTTTCTGAATACGCGCTGCGGCATACCCTAAACAAAGCCTGTATACCATCCTTATTTCATATGGCTTAGGACGATGCATCAAAGTATGCGGGTTCACATATGCAGAAAACGTAATACTTCAAGTCGAAGGATAGTTACACCCGTGGTCGCGCTAAAGATGCTTAGAGCATGAACTAAAAGTTCAAGAAACATCTTTAGGATGGGTCAGTCCGGCATCCTATTATCTCTAGATAATATCTGTCCATGTGCGGATGCGAACACACCGTCATTGACTATGAGACTAAGTCAAACATCCAACACACACTAGTCTCACATGCATTAACGATATCCCACTCTCGTTAATACTCGACTATGGACATTTAGATAACTATTTATTTCAAGATGTTAGTCTCATCAGCAGAATAACATTATCTGATAAACATCTTTTAAATATAAATCTAGGAATATAATATTTGTTTACATTAGCATGAGATGTGTAAACATATTATATCTGCCTATACATGATAGAATAATGATAAACAAGTGGCCATCAGGGCACAACTCCAACAATCTCCCACTTGCACTATGGCCAATCTGGCATCAGTCGAATGCCCATGGACCTAGTGTGACCCTCATGCTTTAGCTTTCCTAAAGGCTTGGTCAAGGGATCGGCTATGTTGTCGTTAGTATCTATTTTGCAAATCATCACATCTCCTCTATCTACGATTTCTCGTATGATGTGATAGCGTCGTACAATGTGTTTGGTTTTCTGGTGAGATCGCGGTTCCTTTGCCTGTGCAATGGCCCCAGTGTTGTCGCAAAACAACGAGATAGGGTCATTAATACTAGGAACTACTCCAAGTTGGTAAATTTCACCAATGGTACCTAAACTTTAGCTGGAATTTCAAAGTGGTACCTGAACTTCAAATCCTTTCACAAAAATCCCTGAACTTACACAATCCTTTCACTAATGAGCCATTAGCCCGTTTCTAGGTTAACTTCCGGTCATTAGGGCCAAATTCGAATTTTATATATTTTAAAATTTTCAATTTGACCCCATTTCTTCTTTTCTTTTCTTCCAGGCCTCGCCGCTGCCGCCCGCCGGTCAAAGTCGCCGGAAAATGAACTTTTTCCGATTCCGGCGGGACCAATGTCATTCTCTTCGTCTTGAGACGAGGATCAATAATATCCAAACCATTTTGTCTAATTTTGCCTGTAACTTCTCGAATCTGAATTTTTCTACTCGAAAAAATCCTAAAATTCGAAATTGGGTCTAAAGTTGGGAGTTTTGCAAATCGTCATCAAATCTTGCAATTGAAGGGTCCTTGGAGGTCGCCCGGATGCCACGACCACATTGGAGTTGGTGCCCGCCGTCAATTTCGCCGGAGTTGGCCGGAAAACGCTCTGACCCGCCGGAAACCGCCTCGGCGGCAGCTATGTACTCAGCCTCTGTAGTCGAATCAGCGGTTGTATCCTCCTTGAAGCTCTTCCAGCTAAAAGCTCCGCCATTCAGGAAAAAAAATATCCTGCTTGTGATTTTGAATCGTCTCTGTCGATTTGGAAGCTAGCATCAGTGTAACCGACCACCTTTAGCTCTTCCTCACCACCGTATACCAGGAATGCATCCTTAGTATTGCGAAGATACTTGAGGATGTTCTTGACCGCTGTCCAGTGTGCTTCTCCTGGACTTCCCTCGTATCTGCTGGTCACGCTTAAAGCGAATGAGACATCAGGTCTAGTACATATCATGGCGTACATGATGGATTCAATCGCAGAAGCGTATGGAACCATCATCATGAGTTCCTTCTGCTCGGGAGTAGAAGGACTCTGGCTCTTGGAAAGAACCGTTCCAGGTGTCATAGGTAAAGATCCTTTCCTTGAGTTAGACATGCTAAATCGATCAAGGATTTTATCTATATATGTACTTTGATTCAGACCTATTAACTTTCTTGATCTATCTCGGTAGATTCTTATGCCAAGGACATAACTAGCATCCCCTAAGTCTTTCATGGAGAAGTTCTCGCTCAACCACGTCTTTACAGAAGTGAGAGCGGGAATATCGTTACCCATTAACAATATGTCATCGACATATAAGATTAGGAATACTATTACACTCCCACTGACCTTCTTGTATACACAAGATTCGTCAGAGTTCTTCTCGAAACCAAAACTGGAAATGGTTTCGTCGAAGCGTATGTACCAACTCCGAGATGCTTGTTTCAATCCGTAGATTGAACGTTGCAGTTTACAAACTTTGGCAGACTGACCAGCAATTTGAAAACCGTCAGGCTGTGTCATGAAGACATCCTCTTTAAGGTTCCCGTTAAGGAAAGCCGTCTTAACGTCCATCTGCCAAATTTCGTAATCGTAATAGGCTGCAAACGCAAGCATTATCTGAATGGATTTCAGCATAACAACTGGAGAAAAGGTTTCATCATAGTCAATTCCGTGGATTTGTCTATAACCTTTTGCTACCAATCTAGCTTTGAAGGTATGAACCTTCCCGTCTACGTATGTCTTCCTTTTGAAGACCCACTTGCACCCAATGGGTTTTACCCCTTCGGGTGCATCAACCAAGGTCCAAACTTGGTTTGTGTACATAGACTCCATTTCAGATTTCATGGCTTCGAGCCATAGATCAGATTCGGGGCATGTAATTGCCTCGAGATAGGTTTCTGGTTCGCCTTGATGTACCAACAAGACGTCACCTTCATCAGACACGAGAAATCCATATCTGACCGGAGGATTACGTATCCGGTCTGACCTACGTGGTATATCTTGAGCAGTTTGAGGTTCAATTGCTTGATCTCTTTGCTCATGTTCCAACACTATCGGGACTTCTTCTTGTGGTTCTCGAATTTCTTCGAGGTCTACCTTTCTCCCACTAGTGATAGCAGAAAGAAACTCCTTCTCAAGGAAGGTTCCATTCCGAGCAACAAAAATTTTGTTATCGGATGGATGATAGAACTCATATATTAAAATATGTACACAAATATGTAATATATTAGAATAGATATAAATTTATTTATAAATTATAATATTCGAATAATTCGAATAAAACGAATCGAATTTGTATTTGAATTCGAAAATAATTCGAATCCAAAATACGATTTGTATTCGGATTCGAATTCGAATATAACGAATACGGATCATCCTTTTCGAATACGAATCACGAATCGAATACATTTTATTTGATTTGTATGGACCCCTAGTAATAGCTATCGAGAATGAAATCTTAGAGAGTATAGACTGTGAAGATGTGATCAACCAATTTGCTCTCAAGATGCAAGGAGAACTTCTCGAATTCTCGGCTAGCTTTTACGGTATGTAATTATAATACTAGAATTTTGTCATTTATTTTTTTCTTCTAATAATATTGCGTTAATTATAATTTAAATATAATTAGTTTACATATGTTAATTTGTTAGACCATTAAGAATAAAGCTTTCAGGGCCTTTTTTTCTGTTTTGGCCCAAGCCGATGAATCCTCAGGACCGGCCCTGTGCCATTGCCAAACATCCGATCAAGATTCTGCCGATGCCACTGACAAGGTGGGACCCTCAACTGAGGTCCGGCGTTCGAGCAAGACCTCCATGGCTTTAGATGCTTCCGTCGTGTTTTTTTACCGTGCACCTTTGCTCGCTGAAGCAGGGACTTTGCTTCCCCTGCATGATCTAATCATTGAGTACCTTAACCTTCACGATCTTCTCCCGTGCCAATTAGGTCCCAACTCCTTTAGGTATATAGTGGGCTACTTAATTAAGTTCCAAGTAAAAACATAATAAAGGGCAGACCCCCCCCCCCCCCAATGAAGCCACTATACTTTGTGTATAAAAACGACTGGGGACTTCCTTTAAGAGGTAAAATAATCAATAGTTATCACAAAGTAGCTTGATAAGACTATTTTTTTCAACTCGCTGATAGTTTTTAGGATGTGTATTCAACTTTCTAATAATTTAGTGTCTTATCATCTAGGCTTTGTTGAGGATGTGTTAGTACAAGTGGGTAAGTTCATTTTTCCTTTTGAATTTGTGGTGTTGGAGATGGAAGACAAGGGAAAACCTTTTATTTTAGGGCAACCATTCTAAGCTACTGGTAGGGTTTTGATCCATTTCGTTGATGGTTCACTAGCCCTGAGAGTCGGAGATGACATTTGTACTTTTCGACTTGTAAAGATATTGAACCAAACCTCCGTTTCTTCTAGCTCTTGTAGTTTTTTAAATGTTATTGATGCTCTGGATGCTTATTGGTTTGGCATCTCTTCTGTTGAAGATGACCCATGAGAGAAAGGTATTATCATCAGCATGGCCAATTCATCAGAAGAGAAATATGTTAAGTTGAAGGAGTTTTGTGTTCAAATTTTGCAAGAAGAACAAATGCAGGGGAGGTAAGCGGTGTTCAGAGGATGAAGATGAAGAAGAAGTTAAAGAACCAGAGCATGTTCTTGAACTTATACCCGGACCCACTCGTTTGAAATATGCATTCTGAGATGAGGAAGAGAAATACCTAGTCATTATAGCTTCTGACCTGACCAAGGAGCAAAAGGGTAAGTTGAAAGAGTTACTTAAGCTTTATGGACATGTCATTTCTCGAAAGCTTGAGGATTTTAAGGGAATTAGCCCAACTTTCTACACCCATAATATATTCATTGAAGAAAGGAGTAGGCCGATGGCTCAACAGTTACGAAGGTTAGTTGAACCTTAATCTGAGGAAGGTTGTGAAGAAAGAAATAATGAACCGTTTGATGCAGATATTATCTATGTGACTCCTCATAGTTATTGGCTAATTCTGATTCATGTTGTCCCTAAAAAGGGAGGTATGAGTGTCATTACTAATGATAAGGGGAATTTAATTCCTAATAGGGTAGTGACTATAGAAAGCTAAATGACGCCACCAGAAAGGATCATGTACCCTCTTGAATAATCCATATCTATTAAGTTTTAGTTTTAGCGATAAGTGAGTACTATAAAAATAAGGCGCATTGGAGAAAAAGAGTTCAAGAAGAAAACATGAGAAAAGGATGTGAGAAAGACCTTCTAACTCAAGCTCATCAATGCTAGCTAGAGTAATTAGATTAAACCGTCCCACTCCCCGTCAATAGTAACATATGACCGTGCCCGAAAATTGGTTGGAAATAAATTCGAACTCAATATTTTCGATGTTAAAGTAAATGGAAGTGAACCTTCTAGGCAGTAAATGGTAGCTACTAGGACAGTAAACGATCGTTTACAGACTTCGTATATCAACCGCAAGTCGAAACCCTAATGCACATTTTTTTTACATTTGACCTTCTCAAGGCTTTGTCTTGCATTTTTGAGACTTTTGGGATATTTCATGTATGCATCTTGACCGTTTTTCCATTTTGCACAACTTTCGTTCATTACTTCATTGTCGTCGTTAGATTCCGAACGATTTGAGAGATGAATGTTTTCCTTGTCCGGATTGAAAAGGGGTTATGTTGTTTTGTCCCTTCCGCTTCGTCTTTGCTCTTTTTTGTGTTTCGCTATTTTTCTTCAATAACTAGCTCTATCAAATTCTAATAAAATCTTAATAATTGCTAAAATACTAATTTTGGAATTTGGAAAATAATAGTTTTTGATTAAAATGATTTGGATTTTATAAAGTTTATATTTAATTTTAATGAAAAATACACTAAATATAAAGAGAAAGATATTAATGAAATTGTGTTATCAAATACAAAAAAACAAATTGTGAAAGAATAAGCAACAGAAGCACAAAATGCACAATCATGTTTTATTTCATGCACAATGTCTATAGAATCCCCATCAATTTTAGTACTAAAAAGCGTCAAAGTGCAGAGTTTGATGAGTTGAAGAAGACAAGCAGACCTAGTGAATTAGAGTGAAATGGACAATGCAGTCTTTAATTTACCCCGAATGCTAGAAATCGGCGTCCGAAAGTATCTCCGAGTCTTTACACATAAAAAATTACATGCCCCTCGGAGTTTCAATAGATTTCCAAGGTTTTCGATCGAGACAAAATACTCCATATACGGACGATACGACCATTTAATTGACATTCCAAAATTTCCAGTAGACAAGTTTTTTCATAATATTTTAAATCCAGCTTCTAGAGCTATTTTGAGCACAATTCTTACTTCTTAAGCACTCATACATACATTGGGATTGCCTACTTAGATACTCTGTATAGACTACCAAATCAAAAGCATATTATAGTCATTCTTCCTTAATGAGTTTGAGTGCATATTGTCTTCCTACACCAACCAAAGTTTACAAACTTCTATCTTATGAAGTGTTATAGATACATTGTTATTTCTCCCATTTCTCTAAAGGTTTAGGATAGTCTTTAAACTCTTGTTGAAACGGTTGAATGCAGTCTTCTACTTAATTCTCATCGTATAAGAGTACAGATAACCACAAATCCTTTGATAGTATTAAAAAGGTTTCTTTGCCAAAACTAATTCAGTGCCTTGCCACAGTCAACGGGTCAAGAGGACCAAATCAAGTGGTTTTATATCCAGAGGAAAGAACCTTTGAGTAGTGAAGTTCAATCCAATTAAACACATTTCAGTTCAGTTTAATTGAGTACATTCTGCCATTTTGGTTCTACCCATTTCCATACATTTCAATCGAAACTAAACTCAACTCACTTCATTTCATTTTTTCATTCCAAAACCCAGACTATAATAAGCACAAAAAGACATCAGTTGAAGTGCTGAACTACCATATGCAGTATAACCGACACCAAAAATGATCTATTTCCATGATAATGAGACAACAAACAACATCCAAATGCAACTTACTTGCAAAAAATGCAGCAAGAATCATCACCGGACAAGCTATGGCTATGCATTTGAGTCGGATATCGGATCATAAATGGGTAGAGCCACGGAGTCCAATAGCTTCAAGTGAAGAGCCCTGATTCCAGCCCATTTCTTAGGAACCACAGAAGCTATTCTGTCTATGGAAGCAATAACATTGTCCACTATTTCACCACTCTCCATTGTTACTCTCCCAACCTTGACTGCACTGCAAGTCCCTGTCCCAAAACACAAGAGAGTGGAGCAACAAGCCCCATCAATCTCCTCCTTCCAGTTCCTGTCTCCCTCTAATTCCACCGGCACTGGGACTCTCTTCCTGTTCTTGTAAAATTGCTTCCCAAGTATGCCAGGAAGAAAGCGAACCACCCTCTTATCAGCCAGAAACAGGTCGTGCGATTCAGATAAGACCCGTTTGGCCTCGAAAGATTTGAACTTGGATTTGATTTTGGAGAGCTTGAGAACTCGGGTTATTGGGACGCCTAGGGCTTTGATCTTCTTCTGCATCGCCTCGGACGAGAGGGTGGTCCGGGAATTGTGAACCAGGGTGGGCTTGTCATCCACGAAGAGGCAGATGTCGGAAAAGCTCCGGAGCGGATGGGGGAGGGGGATTTTGATCGGATTTGAAGCGGGCGAGCGGTGTTTGGGCGGGGGTTTGTGCAGCGTCACGACGGCGTAGATAAAATCGTCTTCGTCTCGATCCTCGTCCGCCTCTTTTGCGGTGGTTTTGGACCGGAGTTTCTTCCATTTGATGAGGGCGTTCACGGATTTCCTCACCGCCGCTTCACTGATTTTATCGGCGCATTGCCCTGCCGTGGCGGAAGAGTCGGCCATCGGGAGAAAGGTAACCGGAGCAATAATAGGGTTTCCGTCGCTGTAGCTGGAAGCGGCGCGGGACGTTGGGCTAGAGGTTAGGTTTTGATCTTGAGGTTCTACTCTTAGAGCATTCAATGGCAAATAAAGAATTAGAATGCGACACGTTGATGTGGCAAAATTCAACCAATTAGAAATTGTACAGTCATTTTTTAAATTTTTAATCTAATTTAAAAATTAAAAAAGGGAGCGTGGCAGCCTTGAGGCTACCTCACTGGAGGAACGCTCAAAGAACGCGAGACAGATCTGATGTGGTGCGGATGTGGCAGCGTGCCAACTAAAATGGCACGCCATTACCATTGCTCTTAAGGAACATTGACTTCATGGAATCCACAACTTTATGTGTATTCAATTTAAAAATATTTAAAATTTTTAAATATGAGATCTCGATGTGTCTAGAACAAGGTACATCTAGTAAGTATTAATTTTAAATTAGGATCATGCTATATTTACACCAAAAGTTGTACCCCATTTGTACACCGCAGTTATACACAAACATTGTTGATGGTTTACACTAACACAAGTGTTGGTGCGTTAACAACAATTAGTTTTACACCAATACAAAATGTCGGTGCAAAACTACGGTGTACAAATGAGGTACAAAAACTTGGGGTACAAATAGCTTTATCCTTTAAATTAACATAGTGTTAATTTTGAAGGAAGGTAATGTTTATTCTATTTAATGTTCATTCTGAAATAATGTAGTATTTATTCTAAAACACAAAGCCTGCTTAGTCTAGGATGTTTATTCAAAAACAACGTAATATTCATTCTGAAATAACGTAATGTTTATTCTGAAACTGAAAGAATTATTTGGGAGGAAATTCTCTTGTATTTCTCTTACAATTTACAATCAAGCCATATATATATATATATATATATATATATATATATATATATATATATATATATATATATATATATATATATATATAATCTCACAAGTTGAGACTCATAATTAGTAAAGGAAAAGGAAAAGAAAAGAATTCCTATAAAAGTAAAACTACCAAAACAATATATACACAAATATATCCAAATATTCTCCGAATATTCTTTTTCCTTTAACACCCCCCTCAAGTCGGAGCACGTAACAAAGAAATGTCCAACTTGGGAATAAGAAACTCCAGTCGTGACTTCCCTAGTGCCTTCGTGTGAATATCTGCAAGCTGATGTGTAGTAGGGACATGAATGGCACGAATCTCTCCTCGGACAAGTTCATCACGAACAAAGTGACAATCGATCTCAATATGCTTCGTGCGTTCGTGAAAAACCAGATTAGCAGCAAGTGAAGAGCCGCTGCTGTCACAACAGACGGTTCTTATGCTCAACCCCTAAGCACCTCAATAAGTTCTTCAACCATTTCAACTCACATATAATGGTAGCTAGAGCTCTATATTTGGCCTCAGCACACGAGCAAGCAACTGTTGTCTGCTTCTTGGTTTTCCACAAGACAGACGAATCTCCAAGCTACACAAACCATCCTGTTAGAGAGCGCCGCGTTAATGGACATGCTGCCCAATCTGAATCACACCATTCTGTGAGCTATAGACTACTCTCCGCTGATAGAAAAATGCTCTGACCCGGACACCCCTTCAAATAACAAACAACCCCAAGAGCTGCAGACCACTGATCCTCCCTGGGTTCCTTCAAAAATTGTGCCAGTGTATGGACTGCATAAGAAAGCTCTGGTCGTGTAACAGATAGATAAACTAATCGCCCTACCAGACGGCGATATAATTCTGGATTCGTGAGAACAGAAGCTTTGGTTCCATGGGTGCACCCAACGACCTGGCACCTAACAATCATGTCTCACTAATAATATCTAAAGCGTACTTCCGTTGGCAGATAAGTATTTTAGTGTTCCCGAGTCCTTCATATGAAAACAATCTGCCAGATATGCTTTGAACTTACTCACCATCTCTGTATTGTCTCCAGCAATAATTAAATCATCAACATAAACCAAAACAAGTATTACTCCTTAATTTCTTTCTAACAAAAGAAAATAAGGAGTAATCAGGAACATAGTGGACAAACCCATAACGTTTCAAGGCTCCAGACAACTTGGCAAACCAACACTTTGGAGCTTGTTTTAAACTAGGGGTGTATATGAATCGAATGGAAAGAAACATATCACTATTCGATTCGTATTCGATTAAAGTGATATGTATTCGAATTCGGATTCGTATATAATTCGAATTTTAAAAAACTTTCGTATTCGATTCGATGGATATTTGACGTATTTGAATTCATATTCGAATTCGAAAATATTAGTAATTTTTTTCTTAAAATAGATTTCTTAAAGACATTAAATTATTATTTTATAATAATGTAAAATGTAGTAAAAATGTGTTAGAATATATATAAATTTATTTATAAATTATAATATTCGAATATATATAATTTATATGTACACAAAAATTTAATTTATTAAAATATGTTAAAATATGTACACAAATATTTAATATAATAGAATATATGTAAATTTATTTAAAAATTATAATATTCAAATAATTCGAATAATAAACGAATCGAATCTATTAATATGTGTATTCGAATTCGAAAATAATTCGAATCTAAAATATGATTCGTATTCGGATTCGAATTCGAATATAGCGAATATGAATCATCCTTTTCGAATACGAATCACGAATCGAATACATTTTATTTGATTTGTATGCACCCCTAGTTTTAAACCATAAAGAGACTTTTTCAGTTTGCACACCACATTAGAGGAATTTGAAAAACCTGGTCGCAGTCTCACGTATTCCTCATCCTCAAGATCTCCATGTAGAAATTCCTTGTGTATATATATCTGATGCCAACTCCCAACCCTTCACATCTGCAACACCTAGAAGAGTCTGTACAGTAGTTAACTTGACCACAGGAGCAAATGTTTCCTTGTAGTCAAGTCCTTCAGCTTGATGATTGCCAAGTACAACCAATCTGGCCTTATATCTGTCCACTCTTCCATCAGACTTGTGCTTGATTTTATATACCCATTTGCAACCAAGAGGCTTCTTATGACGCGGAGGAGAGACGAGAGACCACGTTTTATTAGCCTCTAGTGCATCAATCTCCTCTCGCATCGCCTTCCTTCATCGTTCATCCTGGAATGCCTTCTTGAAACTCGTGGGCTCCACTTCAGCATCAAGTGCACTGAGAAAACACTTATGTCTCTCAGAGAACTTCTCGTGAGTGACATACGAGGAGAGAGGATATTTGCATTTTTCTCCAACATATGAACTAGCTACATGGGTAACATAATTGGAAAGGTGCACATTTGGACGTTTCTCACGCTGACCACGTCCCAAGTTCTCCACCGCCTGCTGGGAAGAGGACGGTCGACCGCCGTCCGTGGAATGGTCCACAGGGTCGACCGTTTGAAACTGTTTTGGATCACTGACTTTCTACCTCGAAGACGGTCGACCGCCATCCGCATCACAGTCGACCATTTGATCATCTCCCCGGAGCCCGTCCTTCTGCCTCTCGGACGGTAAACCATGGACATCAGGACGGTCCACCAGGTTGACCGTTTGAGCATCTCCCTGGAGCCCGTCTTTATGCCTCTCGGACGGTCGACCATGGACATCAGAACGGTCCATTAGGTCGACCGTCTGTAGCATGTCTGCTTCGCCACCTTCCTCCGGTTGACCGTTCCTCATGGAACGGTCCAGCTGCTCTTCCGCGGGCGTCTCTTCATCATCTTCAATGTGATCGATCGAAGGGGAACTACTCGATCCACTCTCATCTGAGATTTCACCTGTGGAAATCAAGTAAGGAAAAATGTTTCCACAAAATACAACATCCCGTGACACACTGATCTTCCCAGTGTCCGGGAAATACACACGCCAGCCCTTCTTTCCTTGTGGGTATCCCAAAAATATTTCAAGAATACTTCTGGGTGCAAATTTATCTCCATCTCTTTTTAAATTATGTACATAACATCTGCAACCAAACACACGTATGTGGGTCCGTGTAGGAACCGTTCCATAGAGCTTCTCATACGGTGTAACCCCCCTAGCAATGAAGAGGGTATGTGATTGATCAAATATGCCGCAGTCTGTATACAATCTCCCCAAAATTCAATAGGAAGCCCTGCCTGAAATCTTAGAGCTCGACCCACATTTAGAATATGACGATGTTTGTGTTCCACTATTCCATTCTGTTGCGGTGTAGACACACAAGATGTGTTATTGTCACTACGAACACACTTTATTTTCTTCTCAAACTGACGTTCAACCATGACACAAAATTACTTAAAAATACTTCCTACTGTCCGCTTAAAATCAAGCAAATATACCCACACACCACGAAAAAATCATCCACAATAGTTAAAAACATTGTAGAACCATCCAAACTCAGCGTCCGATAAGGACCCCATAAATCACAATGCACCATATCAAATTTATCCAAAGATTGATGGAAACTGATGGGAAAACTAGCACGAGTTTGTTTAGCACGTAAACAGACATCACAATGACTATGACTGCTTTTATTTGAACCAACTCCAAGAACTAAGGACAAAACATGCGAAGAAGGATGTCCTAGACGCCTGTGTCAAAGGTCAAAGGAATTCTCCTTCGTAGCACTGCATGCCATGCTTCTTTTCTCTTTTTTCAAATAGTACAATCCTCCTTCATGTCTACCCACACCAATCGTTGTCCTTAAACTCAAGTCATGTAGTATGCACACATCATTGGTGAACTTTGCCTCACAGTTCAAATCCCTCGTCAACTGTGAGACCGAGATCAAATGGCAACTCAAAGTTGGAACAAACAACACATTCTGTAGTGTCATAGTCCTTCTCAAATCAACATTTCCAGATTCAACAGATACTACTCGTTTTCCATCGGGTAACCCAATTTCGCATGGAGTCACACCCACCACATCATACAATAACGAAAGATCACCTGTCATATAATTTGATGCACCCGTATCAATAATTCAACATGTTGACACATGAATACCTGCGAGTTTTTGATTGGTGTGTGTAGGGGACAGTGCAAGGGCGTGACGAACATCGTTCCACTTCTCTAGTGTCAGATCCTCGAAATTGGGTAGCAGTGAAAAACCTTTTTCCTCTCCTTCCTCATTCTTCTTTTGGGAAATAATCTTCATGAGTGACTCTTCAGACATGCCGGATGATGAAGGTCAACGATAGGGCGAACTGATACATATAGTTAATTATAATATTTTAATTAGTTATATTATTATTTAGTAGTTATTTATTATTATTATTATTATTATTATTTATTGATGGTTTATGGTTTTAGTATGGGCCTGAGCCCATTAGGTCAATTAGGGTTTTTCTGCGTCTTTATATATTGTAATCTTTCGTTATTATTAATCAATCAATCAATAATCAAGAATTCTCTTAATCTCTCGTCTCTCTTTGCTTGGAGCTCGGAAACGCTCGAAGTTTTCCTTCTCTTTTTGCCTCCCCTTTCCTGGAGCCCGAAGACGCTCGAAGTTCTTCCCTATCCGATACGATATTCGTATCAATTGGTGCTCTTGTTGAGAGTAACACAAAAAAAACCAAAAAAAAAAAACAGTCGATCAATATCACAGCCCCTCTCCGCCGTCCCAAATCCCTGCCGACCACCACAAACCTGCGCCATCGAGGTCACTAAAAGTCCACCATCAAAGAAAACAAAGGGACCAATTATTGGAGCAATATCACAGCCTCACATCTGCCGTCCCAAATCAGAAGACAGACCCTTGCAACCAATTATTGGAGCAATTGTTACTTTAAACCAGATCCGTCGCAGTGGGCTCACGTCGCCGTGTTATTTCCTTGGAGCTCTCCGTGACGATCTTCTCAGGATTTTTATATCGCAGTGGGCAACAATTCAGGTCAAAAAAAGTTTTTTTTGGTGATATTTTTGTATGGCAGTGTTTATCTATAAAATGGACTCTGCATTTGACAAACTCATTGATTTGCTGGGAAAAGTTCTTTATGGAGAAATTGAGCATGATGAAGGAGTGTGTATGGTTTTTGATCATGTGTATGATATCAGTATGAAGCTCAGATCGATCCATAATTTTAAAGGGCAAATTGATTGTGATGCGCTCGACGTAGAAATTTTTTGCTCGGTATAGGATTTGGTTCGTGGTCCCCCAATTTTGTCGAGTTTGATTTCGTTGGAGTTACAAAATTTCAAAACAAACATGATGAAGGTCATCCAGAACCTCACTAGTGCCCCACTTTCTCCACCAAATTTGGCTTTTGTGGTCACCGTACAAAATAATGAGTCTCATGAAGAGGAATTAAAGGATGACTCAAGCATCGAATCACATGTTGGGGATGTTATGGACAGTAGGCCTAAACTCATGAATGAAGATGACGAAAGGTCCAACACCGTTGAAAATAATGAAGGTGATATTTCAAAAGATATTGTTAATGTGGACCTTGTAGATTTTCCATCACGTGAATGTTATGATCCGGTCAATGCCTCAACTTATGTAGTCGTTGCAGAGCTTGCCCTTCTAGAAGGTGCCAACAAGGTGGCAGATGTAGATAATAACCATGCGGACAACCCCTTTTCATTTGATACCATTAAGTTGTTTCACAATGTTGATGCGGTCCGGACAAAGCACCTAGTTTCATCGAGAGAACATACACTGGGTATTGGCTCTATCTCTCATGCTTTAAGATCTAAGATGGTTGAAGATTCAATGAGTGGACTGCTCCTTTGGTTTAGCATTATCTCTCCAGTCCAGAAGCACAAGTGGGAGCCTCCACCTTGAGGACAAGGTGGTTTTTAAGGAGGTGGGAATGATACGGATAGTTAATTATTTAGTAGTTATTTATTATTATTATTATTATTATTATTATTATTATTATTTATTGATGGTTTAGGGTTTTAGTATGGGCCTGAGCCCATTAGGTCAATTAGGGTTTTTCTGCGTCTTTATATATTGTAATCTTTCGTTATTATTAATCAATCAATCAATAATCAAGAATCCTCTTAATCTCTCGTCTCTCTTTTCTTGGAGCTCAGAAACGCTCGAAGTTTTCCTTCTCTCTTTGCCTCCCCTTTCTTGGAGCCCGAAGACGCTCGAAGTTCTTCCTTATCCGATACGATATTCGTATCACGAACAACAGTAGTAATCAAAGCATACTGCCGTCAGGACAGTCGACCCACTCGATCGTTCTTCAGCAATGGTCGACCATTCCGGTGGTACGACAGCAACAGCGAACGACGATCGATGGACGCGATGTTGGTCGATCCTGAATATTAGCCGCAGAAATCCTCTAGGGTTTTGGCTCCGATACCATGAAAGAATTATTTGGGAGGAAATTCTCTTGTATTTCTCCTTATGTTTACAATTTACAATCAAGTCATATATATATGATCTCACAAGTTGAGACTCCTAACTAGTAAAGGAAAAGGAAAAGGGAAGAATCCCTATACAAGTAAAACTACCAAAACAATATATACACAAATATATCCAAATATTCTCCGAATATTCTTTTTCCTTTAACAGAAACAGTTTTTAATTTCAAGTTAGTCATGGTATACGGTACATCTGACTATACCATATAATTTGCATTGAAATGTAGTGCCTTTAGTTAGAATTTTTAAAATCAATATAAATTCTATAGGAATCTATACTAGTTTAGAGGTATTTATTTGTAATTTTTTAAAAGTGAATAGAAAGTTAGTTATATTCCAAGCAATTGAAAAAACACTATATTATTCATTTTTATAGAAAGTTAGTTATATTCTGTAAGAATAGGCTTAGGAACAGGGTGGTTTAGAGACTCACTAGTCCATAACTTTAGCACCTCCTCGAGACACGCCGGAGCAACACTAAATGTGTACTCTTACAATTTACACGTTGCCGAAACTCTCACGAACTTCTCGACCCACACAGAACTACAAAACACACACAATTTCATTAAACTTCTACCTTTTTTAAAAAATAGAATAAAAATCTGATACTCCTAAACTAGCAAGGAGTCCGCCACACACACAAGAATAAGCAGCAAGGGTTGAGGAAGGGAGAGACGTGAGAGAGAACAAGGGTTTGGAGAGAGAAAAGGAGGTTTAGGAGGAAGGGTTTTGTTATTGCTTACGGAGATGTGAGGGATAAACTCCCTTAAATAGTAACAAGTTCCCCAATCCTACTTAAACTAGGTTATCTATCCTGTCGGTTCAAGAAAAAGCGACGAGGTAAAGAACCGAAAAGAAACCCTCGAAGGAGCTTATAATTCGCTCACCTAGAAAAATCTAAAGTACAATAGTTAATTAACGAAACATGAATTAATTGAATAATTTAAATATAGTCTTGATAACGCTTCGGGGGCTGAATGGTCCGCTTCGGGCGTGCATGCGGGGCAGCGGCTACACTCGGGTTGGCATGCACCAGGGGCACGCCCACTTCTACCGTATCAACTCCCCCGGGGTTGACAACGGCCTTGTCCTCAAGGGCGAGATCCGGGTAATGGCGGCGAATGTCCGCGACCGGTTCCCACGTGCTATCTTCAGGACCACCATCGGACCAACGAATGAGCCATTGGTCCTGGGGATGGCCATCCACTAGAATGGTACGGGCGGCAACAGCTTGGAGGGGAACGGACACTGGGCGGCCTTTAAAGAAGTCAGCAGGCAGTGCAACTGGCGGCAGTGAAGGGCCCTACTGGATGAATGGGCGCAACAAGGAGACGTGAAAGACATTGTGTATGCGGCTATTCGGCGGGAGTTGTAGACGATAAGCCACTGGACCTACCCGCTCTAAAATGGGAAATGGGCCGTAATATCGGCGGGAGAGTTTGGATGAAAGAGGCCTGGCAACGGAGTGTTGGCGATAAGGGCGGAGCTTCAAAAGGACCAAATCGCCGACGGCATATTTTTGATCTTCTGCCATGTTGGTGTTAATTTAAAGGCTAAAAGTATAATTTGACCTCAACATTATGTCTAGTGACGTGTTCTGATATTGGTTAAGCGGATAACACAAAAATAATGACTAGGATTGTGGGCTAGGATTCTGACGAAAAATCACATTTGTAGACTATAGTTGTCGTAAAAAGCAACTGTAATTCACAAACGACGCAAACGGAACCGCCTTTGGAATTGTGTATGACAAAAAAGATATATTATCATTGTGAAATTACACTTTTAGCCCTCAAATTAACATCAACATGATAGAAGATCAAAAAAGGACTATTTGTGGAAAGGTGCCCATAAAAGAAGGACCACTTGGGTAATATTTGATAATAGAGGACTAAATAGGAAAACTCACTATTATAAAGGACCAATTATAGAATTTACTCAATTTTAAACTATACAAGTGGTATTTGCGACACTGCAAGTTAGTGAGATTGTGGACGTAGACAAACTTTCCCTATGAATAGTCCAAAACCAAAGGATCAATGAAAATGAAATTATGAAATGATGGTGCCCAGGTAAGAAAGCATTGGCTCCCCAAAGAAAACATACCGAGTAAAAAACTGAGCTTTTGTACTGAAAAGGTGGGTAAGAAGTTTAAAGTTCAAACTCTAATTATAATGCCAATCTCACACTGCTTATTTTTTATGTCCCAAAATAAAAAAAAATTAGAACAATATATTAAATTTTAACTTTTTTTAAAAAAAATAATTTTATTAATTATTATTCATAACAGTAATTTTTTAATATAATGTTCAATTCTAAGATATTATATTTGTGATCATCTATATTTAGAATTATTTCATAATCTGTCCTTTATAGAATACATGTGAAAAATAATATTTCCTCCGTCCAACAATAATACAATAATGTTCTTGTTACTATTCACAGGACCAAACTTTATTCACTTTGTTGGCGTATTTTCATTGTCTATTTGATAAAATAATACAGTCATGTTACCTCTAGTTTTGTATATCTCTTCATATAGTTTTTAAATATGTATTTTTTATTTTTAAATTCTATATGTACCATTTTCATATTAAATGATTTGAAAATAACTTCAATTAAACATCGCAACGCGCAACAAGAATATTATTTTTGGACGGGAGGAGTATTTGATACCAAATGATTTGTCATGGAATAGTTCTCAAATACAGAGAACAACAAACATAATACTGAGAATATTAAAATTGAGAACTATATATGAAAAAAATCTCATGCTATAAATAATTATTTTAGGGAGAAAGACTAAAATATGACAAAAAGTTAAAAACATATGAAAAAAATCTAAAATAGGGCCTTCAAATTTTACGTCCAAAATTAGATTTATAATGTCAATAATGACAACATATAAAATCTAAAAATACTGTGTAATGGCAATATATGGCAACACGTTGTCACAGTGCAATAGTATATATCTAACTCCTAGTTTGGTGTTAAGGGCTATGTTTTACTACTATATATTATGGTTATTCCTTATACGAAAAAAAATAATACTCCGTATAAACTATGAATAAAACATAGAAAAAGTATTAAAATAGAAGATTCATATTTTTATTTTCAAAATAGAAGTTACAATGTTAATAATGTCAACGTATAGTACCAAAGAATATTGTACAATACCAATATACAGTTTCACATTGTCACAATGCAAACTTCTATTGTGGGAATAAAAATATAGATGTTTTATTTTAGTATTTTATCTATATTTTTCTTCTATTTTGGATAACTTTTTTATTATTTATAGAATCTATTCTTTTTAAAATTACTTTACATATGAATTAGTATAAACACAAAAATTGCAAATAACATACTCCTTTTGTCCCAAAAAATGTCACAATTCACTATTCAAAAATCACCTTAACTTTTGTTTATTTGTGTTTTTTTATTGAATATTTGATAAAAATACCCTTATCACCACTTATTTTGAAGAACATTTCACATAATTTGTGAATATAAATATTTTATTTTTTGTTTCGGTATCAATCCTTGAATAAAATGAGTTGAGAAAAAAAATTAAAATTTTGCTTCGTTTTGTGTAATGTGGCTAACATTTTGGAATAGAGGGAGTATTTCAAAGGAAAATTTACTTATATATACAACTAAAACATAATGTGTTTCCTAATGTAGTTACCATATACTCGTATTTTTATTTTTCACTGTAGTATCATTGTTCAATGTCTGCTGACATTGTTTAAGTAAATGTCCACTGCCATTGGGCATTGTTTCCACCACTGGACATTATTCAAATACTATTAAGGAAATAAAAAGTTTTAGGTACTACATTATAAAAGGATATACTCCCTTCGTCCCTAATTGCAGAAAGTGGACAAAGAGTGAAACCTGTACTTGGTACTTACAGAAGTCATATGCTTAACATAGCTGTCTCCTAATGCAATTGTTAAAAATCGAACTCAAATCTTATTCCTTAACACTCTTTACCTTTACTAATTGTGCAACGTCTACCGACAAGTTTTTTATTTTGGAAGGAGAGAGAGAGAGGATATATCCAAAGGTTATGATGATTGATGATAAGGGTTGTTTAAAATTCCCGTGAGTGAGCTGTGAGCCTATCTCAAACGGTCAATAAATCGCATGTGAACCCATTTTAAAAAAGTTTACTGTTTTCAGCATGATTTTCTTTGGATTTGAAATTTCAACAGCAATCTGTTTTCTTTTACTCCTTTAGGCTTTAACAACACACTAATTTCATCCTTTTATACTTAAGTTCTCATTATCAAAGTTCTCAACTTTTACAAATAAATTAGGCTTTAACCAAACACATATCTCATCAATGTTCTCAACTTTTAAAAATAAATTATTTTGTTACTATTAATTTTCTCCCTTTTTCTTAGATTTTAATTAATCACATAAATTTATTTTTTGTTAAATATGAAACTAGTAACATAGAGTAGTACTCCGTAGTCGGTAAAAGTTAATTGTTTCTATTACGGAGTAGAATATTTTACTCGTCTGTTGATAAATCCATCTGACATTAGCTATATATATTCACTCCTTTTTTTGTGTTTTACCCGTACACTATGTTTGGGTCAAGAAATATGAGAAGGAAAGGAAAAGAAAATGAGAATGAAAACATTTTTCTTATTTGGTTAGATACGAAAATAGAAGAAAAGTGGAAGGATAAAAAAAATAACAAGGCAAAATACACAAAAAGAAGAGAAAACCAAAATTTTTCCATTTTAATGACAAAAAATGGGAGAAAATTATTTTCTTTTTTTCTTCCAAATTCCTTGAACCAAACATAGTGTTAGTGTTTGATTTGGGAAAAGAAAGAAGTGAAATGGCAAAAGTGTTCATTTCTTAAAAATGTAGTGAATTTAGCGAATTAGAGTATGAATTTAAACTAGGCCTTTTTTAAAATGATGAAGGCTAGGGTAACACATTAGAATGCTACTCAAAAGAAATAAACCTAAAATGACATTACAAAAAATATTGATTTTGCTGAATTTGTCATTTATTTTAGCGTGTAAATTCAACGTTTTAAAAATAAAGAAATTGGACATAACCATCACCAATTATGAATGATTGGACAACTACAACAACAACAACCCAGTTAAATCCCACAAGAGTAGGGTCTGGGGAGGGTGTGTGTACGCAGACCTTGCCCCTACTCGAAAGTAGAGAGGCTGTTTCCAAAGAGACCCCCGGCTCAACGTCGAAAGTTGCATTGCTTGACTAACTGCTACTTCATTAATTAAAGAAGCGCAGACAGTTTAGAGATCCATTTTGATTGATTCCATCACACCCCAAAGCCAAAAAATGGTGAAATTTTGGCTCCATCGGAGATGATGGAAAAATGATTGGACAACTATAATATCAATAATGAAAAAGATGTGCTAGGGGTACACCAAGTATGTACACCAATTTTCATGTTTACTATTCACTAAATTAAATTTTGACTCGGTTGCCTTTTCCAATTTTCATTGTCATTCATTGAATAAAATGATGAAGTGTAGTCTTATTATCTCTTTTTTGTAGGGTTAGTCTCATCATCTTTGATTTTGTAGAGAACTTGATATAATTTTTAAATAATTTTTTTATATATTATTTTTCATCATTTTCATATACATTAAATTTAAATGAGTCCAATCAAGCATCCAAATTCGAAAAATAAAAGTATTTTTTTATGGAGAGTAGATTTAAAAGAAGGAGACCTTTATGTGGGGATGATCCCCTTAAATGAGGGGTACCCTTCTCAGATTTTTTAGACCAAACAATAATTTTTTTCCCTCCCATCACTATACCTTCCTGTCTTAGTGATATTGAACAAAGAATAAATCCTCATGCCCCTTTTCACATCTCTTCTTTGCCAAAAATAATCAAACTCTTCCTTCTTCTTCTTTTTCTGTTTTTTTTTTTTAAAAAAAATCTTCTTTTTTCTGTTGAATTTTCATCCTGTAATGAAGATTCTGTTGTGGGTTTTCAAGATCTTTGTTATTTTCACCTTCTTTGTTCAGCTCTCAAGTTCAATTTGTGCAGAGTGGGACAAAATTACCCTTCTGCAATTCAAGGGCAGCATAGTGAAGGATACCACTAATCAGTTAGCTACATGGACGAATTCCACAGATTGCTGCGGGGGAGGCTGGGATGGGATTCAATGCAACGAGACGAGCGGGCGAGTCACCGGGCTGTCCCTGCAGAATTCGGAGGGTGCCCTTTACATGAAGGGCACCCTGTCCCCAAAACTAGGGCAGCTGCAGTTCTTGGAGACACTGATCATTACCGGGATGCACCGCATTGAAGGGGAAGTCCCATGGGCCATCTTTCCCAACCTTACCCATCTGCAGCAGCTTGTCTTGGATGACAATGCCCTTCAGGGTACCATCCCTACAGATTTAGGGCACTTGCCTGCCCTGCAGGTCCTGTCCCTGAAGGGTAACCGTTTGTCCGGGCAGGTTCCGCCTGCCCTGGGCAAACTGAGAACCCTTCAGGTGCTCATCCTGGCCTCAAACTCCCTCTCAGGGCCTATCCCAATTGCCCTGCAAAATTTCACCTCTTTACAGTTCATTGATCTGAGCCACAACCAGTTTTCAGGGCCAATCCCAGACTTCCTCGGTCAGCTTCGGAACCTAACATCCATTGATCTCTCCAACAATCGCCTCTCCGGGCAGCTGCCCGTTTCCTTGAAGAATCTGAAAAACGTCACATTCCTGTCATTCGAGCACAACCGGATAACGGGCGGGATCCCGCCGGAGATTGGGAACATGACCTCCCTCGCGACGCTCTCATTGGGCTCCAACGGACTGACCGGGCGAATCCCGGATTCCATTGCAAGCCTACCAGGCCTGTGGAACCTCAGTGTCCCAAAGAACAACCTTTCCAACCCTTTGCCAGTTTCTTTCTCCAAAGCCCTGCTGTCCATAGACCTGTCCTACAACAACTTCACTCTGGGGAGGAGTGTCCCAGAGTGGGTCACAAGCAGGGGACTCTACAGTGTGAGCCTGGCAGGCTGTAAGCTGGAGGGCACCCTTCCAAAGTTCACAAACCCCGGCTTCCTCACCTCCATTGACCTATCAGACAATGCCCTCACAGGCGAAGGGCTGTCCTCGTTCTTCGCAAACATGTCCACCCTCCAGAAGGCCAAGATCTCCAGCAACCGGCTACGCGAAGACATTAGCAAGATCAAGATCCCAGAAACCCTTTCTTTCCTAGATCTCCACGCGAACGACCTGCAAGGAACCATGTCAGGGCTACTCAACAACCAGACCAGCACATTCTTGGAAGCCGTAGACCTCTCCACGAATCGCATTTCTGGGAGGATCCCAGAGTTTGTCTTCACCCCTGGGTTGAGGGGCCTGAAGGTGCTCAACGCCGCGAACAACAACATCACCGGGTCAATCCCAGACACGATTTCGAACTTGGAGGGCTTGGTTAGGCTGGACCTGAGGAGGAACGGCGTGTCTGGCGCGATCCCTGAAGGGCTGGGGAAGCTGGGGAGGCTGGAGTGGCTGGACCTGTCCATCAATGGGCTCACTGGGAGGATCCCTGAGAGCCTGCTTGGGATCAAGAGGCTGAGCCACGCGAATTTCAGGGCAAACAGACTGTGTGGGCAGATCCCACAGGGGAAGCCATTCAACATTTTCCCACCTGCAGCTTATGCTCACAACATGGGTTTGTGTGGGAAACCATTGCCACCATGTAAGAACAACAAGACCACATGCCAGTGAAAGAAGAGCTGACTAATCATCCCACACCAAAAGTTTTGGTTTTCAATGTTGAAAAGGGCAACAGAGTACAGGTTCCATATATATATATATATATATATATATATATATATATATATATATATATATATATCTACACAGCAGCCCTGAGGAAACCTTTTTTTTTCTTCTCTCATTACTTAGTGTACACCTTTGTATCCCACATTGTACTGTATCTTTCTTTGTTTGGTATCAATGTAGAAATTTCTTCTACATGAAATATCAGTTATTATTTGATATATTTCGGTGCCGGATGGAAACTTGTTAACACTGTGATCTCTTCATTCCAATGTTTCCCGACATAGTGTTGGTGGTTTAAGGGTCATCGATTAGTTTATGTAACTGGAAGTACTTAGAACCAACGGAAATTTTAATAGACATTGTTAATGAGTTCAGAGGTGTGCATTCAACGAACAACAACAACAACGCAGTTGAATCCAAATTCACAGAAGACACATAAAGATACATACAACAGAGGAAACACATACACAAAAAGCCAAGACATTGGAATAAAGAAACATTCAGAGTGTTAAATGTTAGGGATAACTACCAGACCCTTTCGCAAAAGGATGCATCCTTTTGATTGTTTGTAAAATACTCTAATGTTTCAGGATTAAACGTGTAATGCGACGATAGAGAACTTCCAACCATTGCAAACATGCGAATAGTTTTATTTTCCAAAACAAAATACAAATTGGTTTTTTAATAAAACATTGTTATTTTTCCTAAAGAGACACTGAGAACCGTTATACTTCGTATTATTTAAACACACAAATCTTTTTGGGACGGAACTATAAACATTGTTATTTTTCCTAAAGTGTTTGTTAACGCACCAACACTTGTGTCGGTATAAACCATCAAAATATTTGTGCATAACTCTGGTGTACAAATGGGGTATGTTTTTTGGTGTAAGTGTAGCATGGTCCTATATAAAAATAATAAATCAACAATACTACTTTCAACCCCACTTGATGTACACTAAAAGATTACACTAGCACTTTGCTAGCTTACACTAACACAACATATCAATGCAATCGCAAAATTTTGTACTAGCATTTGTGCCAATACAAAGCATCAAAGTGTTGGTGTAACTCCTTGGTGTACAACTTGGTGTACGCCATGTGGTGTACACCTGCATGGTTGAAAAAAAATAGTCATGCTAGGTGTACCCCAAAGAGTATACTCGAAAATGTACCCCAAAGATTTACGCTTACATATACCAATACAAAATAATAGTGGGATTAAAAAATTTCGCACTGACATTTTGTATCAATGTAAGTCATCAATCTCACACTTATATTTACACAAAATAAAAGTGTAAACCTTAGGGATACACTTTGGGGTAAAAGTAGATTTATTCAAAAAAAGAAAGAAAAGAAAAAGTCATCCGATATTTTTACTTAGTAACATTACACAACAAGTTCATATCTCAACACCAATTTACCAAAGAGATACTAAAAATGATATAGCAAAACGGATTACATTAAACTGCAAAGATTTGGGAATGTAAAATCACCAGATTTCAAAATATTACAACCGGAAAAAATCATCAAGAAGTAGACTTAACCATCTCTTTCTCAATGGCTACAGGCACTGTTGGCTGAGGCTGCAAACCATAAATTCAAAATCAGCATTAAAATATACGTACAAAACTTAGGATGGGGTGGGAATGACTGGACTGAGTCATAAGACATTTGGACTGAACAACAATAAAATCCTGAATCTAATCAATTACTAGTTGAACTCAAGAGCTTTTAAACTCAGTAGTTTCTTTATTTTCTGATGTGGGATACTCGAACGATTCTCGAACTTATGTACAACTCCTAGTTAAGTGTAACAGAGCCAAAAAAGAAAGAAGAGAGTAATGGTAATAGTAGATGAAAAGGTATTAATAACTTACCGCGGCTAATTCATCTTCATGCTTTGGAATGAACGCCGTATCAACTTTCCCATTTTTGAAATCCTGTTAAGAAGCATTCGAAAACAAATTTAGAACGAAGAATGCCACGCGGCACATATTTTAGATATCCTCTAGCCAACATATGTGCATATGCATGTGGGGTATGGAGCCATAATTATAATTATAATTATAATTACATGCGAGAGTTTAATTATCTAACCTCAACGTCAAGGATAAGTTTGTGATACTCAATTGTTGTTGGAACACCTGCAGCAATCAACACATTCTACGTTTAATAACGGTATGCTGAATCATTGGAGAGATGTAGACTCTATCTTATTGTACTCCGTATATAACTAAGTTTCTATCTATGATTGGATCTTAGTGGCAAAAGGTTAAAACATCTAATATATATGTTTGGATCTTGTGTGCAAGGTGGAGATGAGAGGGAATGGTAGAGGATAGACAGTGTAAATAGGAGCGGGTGGGTGTTACTTGTTAGTGGATGGTAGAGGACAAATTAGGTGTGGAAGGGAAATTATATTTTTGGCAATTATTTTGCCAAAAATAGTAATGAGTAAAAAAATAGGACTCCCCAAAATGGATAGAGGGAAGAAGATTTCCATACGGATAGAGCATAAGAATATTCCTGGTAGTAAATGTAGCATTGCAACAAGAGTTTAAAAGAAACAGCCACGTAAATCTCGACCACAATTTGCTTAATCGACAACTTGAAAGGGAAGGTCATAATAAAATTTATGTCAATTTCAAATATAATTGAAGTCAAACCACAAAGCAGTTTCTTCAACAACAAAAAACCCCCCAAGGCAGTGGAATATACTAGATTTTGTTCAGTGCCTTTGTGATGTCCATGAACGTGAATTTGTTTATCTAGAAAATATTTTGCACCACATGTTCTTTTCCAAAAATGGAATGAGAAAAGGTAAGTTTTTTTGGGATGGATGAAAAAAGAAAATTGAGTATTAAATTATTAGGTGACAGAGGGAGTTACATAAAGTACTAGCAAATCATAGAGTTTTAGTATACATCCGGACATTCACAATGTGGTTCCACTACCCTGCCCACCCCAATTATTGGTAAATAACAAGAAAAGTGTTTTTCTTTCAATCTAACAAATGCATGAGAACATCAAATAATGCAGGTCTTACCTGTAATAAGAGTGTCATCAAGTGCTCTTTTCATGCGTGCAATAGCTCTCTCGCGTGTTGGAGCCCATACAATGAGCTGGAATAACAAGTTCTAGGACTGCTTAATCCATTTTTGATCTCACCATAGAATAAAGACAGTTGTACCATAAACATATTATGCACATCAGAGAAGAATAATCTTGAAATGTAGAACTACCCACTCAGGGTGTGTTTGTATGGGTCTTTATTACTTTATTAACAATTTTTAAGAATTATGCCTGGCATAGAGTAATAAATAAATGACTTGTACACATCAATCTTCTATTAGTTTATAATTTTATATCTGTTTATAAAATGATGTCTCATGTAGGAATGACTAGGGAATCAAACTTCTACTACTTTATAATTTATATCAATTAATTTGAAGAATTATCTCGTTAAAGAAATTTCCTTATAATAAATAAGTAATTTCTTCCCCTACAAAACCTAAAACATACCCCAATTCTATAAGAAATAACTAATTTCTCCCCCTAGTCCCCCTACAAAACCTAAAGCATACCCCAACTCTATAGTACACAATTAATTTTTGGCAATTGGTTAAAGCAAAATCAAACTCTAACGCAATATATAATAAAAAGGGAGTATTAATGTTAACCACATAGAAGGAACAGCACACCTTTCCAAGTAGAGAATCATAGCTTGGTGGTACCACATAATCAGGATAAATATGGCTATCCATGCGGACAAATGGACCTCCAGCTGGCAAGTATGCAGTTATTCTCCCTATGTAACAACAAAAGGGATTATTCAGATGAATCCATGAGCCTCACATCAAGCATCTATCAAAACTCCCTTCGCCCTAATGTGTTTGTCCACTCTTTGGCACAAGGACGAAGAGGATGAGAATAAAAAGGAAAGATGATTAAATATGACCATAGTGTACAGTGGGGCATTTGTTAAGTGGTTTTGAGATGTAGGCAAAAGAGATATTGTATTTATTACTTTACCAACAGTGGGAAGTGGACAAATACATTGATACGGTCCAAGAAGTAAAAGGGGACAAACACATTGGGACAATGAGAGTATATGAAAAATGTATGAGCCACACAGAGTAGAACCACATAAGACATCAATAAGTCATTGAAAAGGGATAGATAAACATAATTCAGACACACCTGGCCCAGGTCTGAAATTCTTGAAAGCGTCTTCTGCATTAATCCGGCATTCAATTGAATGTCCTCTAAGCACAATATCTTCCTGAAAGCAGATAAATGAAAAAAACAGATAATAGGAAAATAAAAAATGAACCAAGATCCACTCTCTAAGATTCTATCTTCTTGTTAATTACCTGTTTGAAGCGAAGTTTTTCTCCCTGTGCTACACGAATCTGTTCTTCTATTAGATCAACAGATGATATCATTTCTGTAACCGGATGTTCTACCTATAATGTTCACCAAAGTGCAAGTTTGTTAAGCATTTAACAATCCTTGAATAGCCCAAACAACACAGATGTACCGCACAAAATATATAAAAGTATGACTGAGTTTCGAGATTCACCTGAATTCTAGTATTCATCTCCATAAAGTAAAAAGCCCCTCTTTCGTCCAAAAGGAACTCGACCGTACCGACCCCGATGTAACCTATAGATGCTGCTGCTGCAACTGCTGCATCACCCATAGCCTTCCTTAGCTCAGGTGTTAGTGCAGGGGAAGGAGCTTCTTCCAGCAACTTTTGATTTCTTCTCTGGGGGTGGGAGAGAGGGGGTCATTACATATGAATCAATTTTACAACCTTATCCATTAGAAGTTGATATGGATGAAAAAAATCCAATCATAGAGAACTATGATCTTTATACAGCGGTAATGGACATATCTCTACGTTCTTCACCAAATTACATACATCAAAATAAACCTGGTATTCTCTTATGCAGATTATTTTCCTCTATAATTGGATTCTTTTAAAATATGCATCGTAAATAAGAATTAAAAAACAAGGAACATTGCTTTACTCAATAGTTGAGGATATCAGGAGCAAAAGTGCACGTTTTTTTGTAGATGGTGTTTCCCCAATTTAGCATTCATATGAAAATGTTGAAACAAACATTGTGACGTTCTAGTTCATCTCAATATAAAACAAACAAAAAATTTAAATAAATGAGATAAACATTGGACAATTACAGCCCCTGTTGAAGTTGAAGAAATGCTTGGTTAAAGACTTAAAGTGTGTAATTATTTTAAGTTTATTATATACTTTTAGCCCAATTTTCAAAAAAAGAAAATCATGTGTTTAGTTTCAACATCCAATTTTGTAAAATTTCAATTATGAAATTTGATATTTGTAACTAAATAAAATCTGATCAGTAAATTCTGTCATACTGCTCTACCTAACTGCTCACTTGTGCAGAATGTATGATGTAAACAGGATATACATTACTATGGAGCATGAGAGCCTAAGCAGAAAAGGTTTAATCCATGAAAGAAACCCTAGAGAGACTTAAAAGTCAATACAATTAATCTTGCAGGTATATGTATTATTGATGAAGATAAACTCTTAGAATACAACAGTCTTGATGAGTAAGCTAAAATAGTTCCAATCAAGTACAATACTGCTATTAGCAAGATTAAGTACACACTAGAATAGCAATGCTAACATTAAACTAATACTAGTCTGTTTATG